TGAACACCTTCTTATTCGGACACGCACCTCAAATGTTGTCCAACCATCGACTTCTTGTAGAGGATCCCGTCGACCTCGAAATATTTGCTCAAATATCGAGCTGTTTTTTCCGCCTCTTGTTTGTCTCCTGCAGGGATTCGACCCTTCAGGAGTTCTCGAATCGACTTTCTCCAATCATCTTTCTCGTCAACTTCCATAGTTTCGTTTAGGACGCTTCCCTCGAGGTGCATCGTGGTGATGTGATTTCCCACTTTCCCTTCATTCGAGCTCGCAATTCGTGCGAGCCAATCGGCTCGTTTATTCTCTTCTCGAGGGATTTGTGTTAATTCGAACTTCTCTAAACCTTGTATCAAGCTTTGGATTTCCTCGACATATTTCATCATTCTCTCTTCCTTGACTTCACAATTTCCCATCACTTGGCCGACGACAAGTTGCGAGTCAGAATGTGCTGCGGTTTCTGTTGCTCCGCCACCAATTGCCACTTGTATCCCTTTGATAAGTGCTTCGTATTCGGCCTCATTGTTTGAGGCTTTGAATCCCATCCTGATGGCGAAGTCAAGTTGCTCGCCTTCGGGAGATACTAGAACGACTCCCAAACCAGATCCTTTTGCGGCCGAGGATCCATCGACATGCATTGTCCATCTCCTTTCTTCTCTTTTGGTTCCTTCTTGAATGAAATCAGCTAGAGCCTGGGCTTTAATAGCTCGCCTCGGCTCGTACTTGATAGAATATTCGCTTAGCTCAACTGCCCACTTCACGAGTCGACCTGAGACAGTAGGTCGACCCAGTGTTTCTCCTAACTGAAAATTTGTTCGCACTGTTATCGCATGGTTCAGAAAGTAAGGTCTCAATTTCCTAGCCGTTATCACCAGCGTCAAGGCAGCTTTCTCGACTTCAGGGTATCGTGCCTCCGCACCCTGGAGCACTCGACTCGTAATATAAATCGGTTGCTGGGAACTTCCATCTTCTCGTATCAATACTGAACTTAGAGCGAATTCCCCCACCGAAATGTATAGAATCAACTCATCGCCAGGCTCTGGTTTGGTTAATAGGGGTAGCTCACTCAGGAATTCTTTCAACTTCTCAAAGGCCTTCTGTGCCTCATCGCTCCACTTAAAGGTCGCCGTCTTCTTTAGTAGCTTGAAGAAAGGGAAACTTTTTTCTGCCGCTCGAGCAATGAACCTGCTCAGGCCCACAATCCTTCCTGTTAACACTTGGACTTCTCTAACGTTTCGCGGTGGAGCCATGTCGAGTATGGCCTTCACCTTCTCTTGGTTTACCTCAATGCCTCGTTCCGTGACCACGTAGCCAAGAAATCGTCCCGCCTTTACCCCAAAGGCACACTTGCTCGGGTTCAACTTCATCCCAAACGCCCTAAGGGTGTTGAAAGTTTCCCTTAAGTCGTCTGGGCGTGAAGTCGAGGATTTACTCTTCACCAGGATATCGTCAACGTACACTTCCATATTGCGGCCGATTTGAGGTTTGAACATTCGATCCATCAATCGTTGGTAGGTTGCTCCTGCGTTTTTGAGGCCAAAGGGCATGACGACATAGCAATATGTCCCCTTGCTCGTCACGAAACTCACTTTACTCTGATCCTCCGGTGCCAGAGGAATCTGATGGTATCCCTACGACGCGTCCATCATGCTCAACAACTCGCAGCCAGCGGTGGAGTCGACTAGCTGATCGATCCTCGGCAAGGGGTAATGATCTTTAGGGCACGCCAAGTTCAAGTCGCGGAAGTCGATGCACATACGCCATTTGTTCAATGCCTTCCTCACCATAACTGTATTAGATATCCATTCGGGGAATTGGATCTCCTTGATATGTTTGGCTTTCAGCAACTTGTCCACCTCGACTTCAATTGCTTTGTCGATTTCAGCGCCATGGTGCCTGAGTCGCTGCTTCACAGGTTTTCTGAAGGGGTCGATGTTGAGTTTGTGCTCCATCACTTCTGGGTCGATTCTAGTTAGTTCTTTAGGCCTTTCTTGCCCGATTGGAGTCTCCATCAGTCGACCCTCTAAAAATCATGTTAATGACTCCTCTTTTTGGTGGGAGTTCCTCCTTTTCCGGCGATCTCGCCCTCTTGCGAGGACTCTTACTTCGTTCTCGCCTCCTGCTCATCCTCTCTCGGTCTTTGTATATAAACTTCTTCAAGTGACCCGCCTTTATCAGCCTCTCGATTTCGTCTTTCAAGTGTCGACAGTCATCAGTGTTGTGCCCATAGTCTTTGTGGAATCGACAGTAAAGGTTGCTTTTGGGCTTCAAAGGTCCATCTTTCCTCGTCCGCGGCCATCTAACCACATCGTCGCGGATTTCCCTTTCCATAACCTCCAGAATCCTAGCATGGGGAGCCGACAAAGGTGTGTATTGAGTTGGTCTCCATCCCCTAGACCTGCCTTCGCCCCTTTCAGACCTCGGGGATCCCCTTCTATCTCCTGTCGACTGACCCTTCTTTTTCTTCTTGTCGTCTCGACTGTCAGTTTGAGCCATCTTCATGCTCTGCAAGTAGTCGGCCTCGGCCTCTTCAACGTTCATGTATTTGGCACATCTTCCCAGCACATCGTCGAAACTCCTATCAGGTCGTTTGGCCAAGGAGTTTTTGCACAATCCTGGTAGCAGTCCTCTCGTTAGTCCTCCCGATTTGATTTCCTCTGTCGCTGTGGGGCATTCGACGCATGCCTTGGTAAACCTCGCCACATATTCTCGCAACGACTCGCCTTTCTTCTGTTGCATGCTAATCAACGAGATGTAAGATTTCTCTTGCACCCTCACACTTGCAAATTGGTTAAGGAAACTCGAGCTGAATCCATCAAAGTCCCGAATCGACCCCGCTGGAAGTTGATGAAACCAATCTTGGGCCGACCCTGTCAAAGTCGTCAGGAAGGCGCGGCATTGTACTGGGTCGCTGTAACGATGAAGCACGGCCATATTTTCAAAACTCCTCAAATGTCGAGACGGATCTGTGGTACCGTCATACCATATGTTCAGTTCCCTGAAGCCTTTGGGTAAGTCGGCTCTTAGGATCTGCTGCGAGAATGGGTGTTCTTTGGCTCCTCTGCTCTTCCTCCCGTCGACTCGAGCTTGCAAGTCGCGAACCTGTGCCAGCAGTTGCTCCAACGTTTCGTCCCTTGCTTGTGGATTAACGGTTCGAATGGACGATTCTTCTTCATCTACCCTTCTGTTCTGTTGCACATTCGACTGGGCTTGTTGCTCGCCGCGTGGCTGCTGCTCGACTCGAGGGGGGTACTCGACGCGAGGCTGATGCTCGACTCGAGGTGGACACTCGACTCGGGGCTGCTGTTCTACCGGCGCTATCTGCTTCATCTGGGCCGCCACGGCTTCAGCAATCATCTTCTGCATTTCACTCCTCGTCATTGTCAGAGTCTGTTCCTCGACGCGGGGTTGTGTCTGTTCCGGAACCTCCTGTATTTGTTTTCCCTCACGTCGAGAGGCCTCCGTTGGCTCCTTCTCTCCATCTGGGTTAGGGTTTTGACTTGTCCCTGCCTGAGTCAACATTTGTAACTTTACGCCGGTTGGAGTCACAGGCGTTTCTCCGCCCAACGTCAGCCCGGGTGGTGGAAGTCCTCCGAACGGCGGCATTCCCGTCATCTGAACTACGGAGTGTTTGGTGGTGGGAAGTGGTGGTGGCCTCTTGTCCATCCACGTCCCTCTGAACTCCTCGCTCAGGTTCCTCTGCAAGCTCTCCTTCTCCGCCATTGGCAAACAGATCGAAACTGGGTGTGAAGCTCTTTCTTCCTTTAAGAACTCCCCACAGATGGCGCCAAATGATGGGTCTACTTCTAGATCCGCAGTAAACCGGTGGTTGTGAGTTCAGATCTGCTTGAACCGCCTTGAAACCGTTGATAGATCGCAAGAATCCCTGCAAAAACTCAACGCCGGAGGTGTTTCCGGCGTAGAGCCTCCGACGCTCAAGTCAGTATGAGAGTGATGAAGAGAGGCTGCGCAGCAGCTATGGGGGAGAGTGGGAATGAATGAGAGTTAGGGTTTAAGATTACCTCATCTCCTTTATATAGGAGTGAATACTTACGTGAAGTGCCCAAAGTACCCCAATCGGTGGACCTAGAAAGTCCAAAATGCCCTGGTCGATTCGTCCCCCCTTAGTGCTGAGTCACCCCAAGATTCCTTCTTATCCTTCTTAATGTGGAATGCGTCGGATATGTTGCAAGTATGGTGAATCGACATCATATCCTTGTTATTTAAGATATGTGAGGTCGACTTCGAGATCTAGGAAGTCGACTAGTGGATATGCACAGATTCGACGGCTCCACTCGACTAACTCTGAGGCTAAGTCGTATTCATGGAATCGTCTTAATTCAGTCGACTTCTGGGAGTCGACTTAGGATATCTAGATGACCGGGAGCTGTACTCTTTTCTCCTTTCATCGATGTCGATTAGTGAAAGTCGATAGATTAAAGTCGACTTGTGAGAGTCGACTAGACCGGACATCTGCTTCTTAATTGCTCTTAGTAGGATCGACCCTAGGAAAGTTGATTCGGGCATGTCGACTGAGTGTTGTCGACCTGCGGTAATTCGAGTGGTTTGTTGGTTGAGTGAGGAGCTTCCGGACCGGGTTATCCTTATATGGCTATATCAATCGTATAACATTTCGTGAATGTTAGGGTGAAAAAGAAATTATTTGATGGAGCAGTGTGTGAATATTGGGGTGAGAAAAAAAAAAATTAATTGGACAGTATATAAAGAAAGAGTAGTTATATTATGGGTAATAAGTTCAATGAACATAAAAGATTACCAAATTGCTAATAATTTTACTAATTAATGAGCAACTTGGGGTATTTGACTTTATCAACCCACGCCCCAAAGTCAACTACTCTTCCCACCATCTATAATTTTTCCTTCAATCGAGATCGGCACACATTCATATTTGAAAAGTCTATACTTAACACACCGACTCAATTGGAATTCATTTCCTTCACTGCATACACAAACGCTACATCCCACAGCCACACAGTACACAAATGGGTTTAGTAAGGAACAATCAAAACCCACCACTATCAGCCTCCCATAATATCTCCCTCCCCGGGCCCCACGTCCTCCACCCAATCCTCCACTACGACCCCAATAACAGTGCGTGCTCCATCTGCCAACTCCAGTCCAGCGGGCTTATGTTGACGTGCAAGACCTGCAACCTCAGTCTCCTCCACCAGGCGTGCGCGGAGTTCCATCAAGCTTGTGCCCGCCTCCCGAGGTCTCTCCCCCACCCTTCCCATGCCGGCAGCTGCGGCCTCCCACTCTCCCTCGCCCACTGCGCCTACCCTGGCGGCAAGTTCATATGTGACGGCTGCCGCCAGACGGGCGAGCGCTGGGGCTACCACTGTGCCAAGTGCAATTACGATCTGCACGAGAGGTGCGCGGTCAGGCCACAGAGGATCAGGCACCGGGCCCACGCGTCCTGCGAGCTGGCCCTCATTTTCAAGGGCCCGTTTCCGAATTCGCTTGGGTTTGTTTGCGACGTGTGTCGCCAGCCAGGGGAGAACGATCTGTGGCGCTACCGCTGCCAGAATTGTGATTTTGACGTCCATTTGGATTGTGTGGTTTGACTTTGGACGCGTTTTCGTTTGTTTGTTTTTTTATGGTCTTCTAGATATTATTGGTTAATGTGTACCGGATAACTAGGAGTACTGGAAAAAATAATTTGGTCTAATAATTGAGTTAAATTAAAAAAAAAAAAATCACGAGCATGAAGCCCAATGTTTAAATTTAATGTCCGTTAATGAAAAAATCTCTTATTTTCTTCTTCTTGCAATTAAATGATATGTTTAAATTCTATTGTTTTAGTATGATCTTGATTCTTGACTAAATTAATTAACGGGGAGCAGTATGTCAAAACTCAAAACTCATTCATCGACTATTTGTCTCTTTACGGTGAAGAAGAGTCATTCTTGTATGCGAAATTCTCTCGATGGAGAGCTGTTCTTCTCTCAATGGAGAGCATTAATTCCTTCGATGGGAGGTAGTATTTCCAAAATCAACAGCTAGGTTTTTTCCCCCTTTTCTGTTCTATTCTCCTTCTTTCTAGGTTTTTTTTCCCCTCTTCCCTATTTTCTAGGGTTTATATTTCGATACCTCTGTTCTTGTTCTGTTTGTTTTTCCTGTTTTGATAGGTAAATTGGGTCAGCTATCTCAAGACTCTCATTACTCAATCTCTCCTACTCTCTGCCCGCGCGAAGAAGATAATTATGGAAATTCTGGAGCAGAAACTAAAAGACTGCAACCTAAGCAGAAAGGAAGAAAACATCATTTCGCTACATGAAGGAGATATAACATCGAGTGCAAATGAATGCGAACGCAGTCTATTTGGGAAAGTCATCGGAGACAGGAAAGCGCAGCTCTATGGCATCAGGAAAACCATGACTCAAATCTGGCAAATCAGGCACCAAGTAGAAGTAAAAGAGCTGCAACATAATTTCTTTCAATTCATCTTTGAAGATCTTGAGGATAAGAGGAAAGTAGCCAGAGGTAAGAACTGGTCATTTGAAAACCAGTACCTTCTCCTAAAAGAATGGCAAGATGACATAAACGCCGACCATGAGTGTTTTACTGAGATGGATATGTGGATACAAGCTGAGGGCATACCGTTAAATTGGCTGAGTATAGAAGTGGGCATCAAAATAGGCAAAGCCTTCAAGAACGCAAAAGATGTCTGTGACTCGAGCTCTGGAAGCGGAAGGTGTATCAAAATCCTAGCTACCATCAATCTATCAGAACCTCTGCTCAGATGCTCAAATATCCAACTTGGAGAGAAAATTCAGAGAATTATCTACAAATATGAAAAGCTACAAAATTTCTGCTACTACTGTGGCTACATTGGACATCTGGAAAGAACATGCTCAAAGAGAAAGGAAGATATTGAAGCGGGGAATCCTCAGAAATGTCAATTCGGTGAATGGATAGAAGTCCCGGAATCCAATCCCAGAAACAGACATCATTCAACCTTCTCAGGTAATTCCAACCAATCACCCTCAACATCTCCTTCTCAACCTGAGAAATACTCTAACCAAGTCTCACCTAACATCTCCCAACCTACACCTCATGTCAATCTACTAACCCCTCAAATCCCTCAACTCCAGACACCAATCTTTCCTTAACCACTCCTACTCAACAACACCACACACCACAATCCCCTAACAGTCTAGCCATTATCCCCAAACCAACAATGTTGGAAGCTCTTGATTCAACACCTACCCCAATCTTAATATCCCCTGAAATACCAGAACCCCAGCATAACATTGCTATGGAAGATTCTGCCATGCTTCTTGATTCATCTACCCCTATAATGCCCCTTCTCATTAAACCCAATCCCAAAACAGCAAAAAAATGGACTAGAAAAGCTAAAGCTAACACTTCACCTACCCCCAAAGACACAAACAGCACACCCATCTGCAACACACCTAAGACAAAAAGAGGCAGACTTCAATCTGATACAGACCCCATCCCTAACCAATTAAATGATACCAATGAAACCATTACCCCAGCCCCCAAAAAATCCAAATCTTCTTCTTCCAAGGTGGAGGCAGCCAGCCTAGAATGGCTCCCAACTGATAAATGAGAGCTATGGTGTGGAACTGTAGAGGTCTGGGAGGACCCTCTACAGTTCCCCTGCTCAAGGAGTCCATAAAACTCCACATCCCTTGGTTCACCTTTCTTTCTGAAACTAGAAAATCTTCAGCCTTTGTAAATACTGTTTGTAAAAAGCTAGGTTTTGCTGGTCATCATTTATCTATTGACCCCACTGGTCAAAGTGGTGGCCTTCTTTTGCTTTGGAGTAAAGACATTGTGATTCTGAACATCATTCCGCATTATTTCTGCATTGAAGTTGAGTTTCAACACCCTACATCTGCTGCTAAACACTGGGCCATATTTGTCTATCTGAGTACTTCTGCCAGTGAAAGAGAAATGCAAAGAAATTATCTTCTCAATGCTAAAAGCAATTGGGGGGACTCCTGGATCATAGGAGGAGATTAGAACGATATCTGCATTAGAGAAGAGAAAAATGGAGGCAGAGATAGAGCTGAGAATAGCTTTTGGGGTTTCAGGAACTTTATTGCTCAGATGAATATGCTAGAAGTTCCTATGACAGGCCATCAATTTACTTGGAGCAATAACAGAATGGGCTCATGTTTTATTGAAGCAAAACTGGACAGATTCTTCACTTCTTTTGGCTGGCTGTCCCTTCACCCTTTAACCTCCTCTTCAAGCATATGTCGAAGCTCATCAGACCACCATCTCATTCTGCTCTCAGATGCTACTAATGAACAGCACTCCAAAAAGAGGTTCAATTTCGACAGAAGATGGCTTGGCAAAGAAGGGATTCAAGAAACCATAACTCAAGCTTGGAACACTCACCACTCTGGCACACCCATGTACCAAGTCCAGAACAAAATAAAAGATACCAGAATCTCTCTGTTGAAATGGAGCAGAAACTTCAGAACTGAGAACTCCAAAAAATTGCTGACTTTTCCAAAGAGCTAGAAATTCTAAGATCTCAAGGGGGAGACAGGGATTGGCACAGATGGCATAGCCTAAAGTCTCAGCTCGACAAAGCCCATAAAGAAGAAGAAGCCTTTTGGCAGCAGAAGTCCAGGATACAATGGCTAAAAGCTGGTGACAAAAACACCCGGTTCTTCCATGCATACACTATGCAGAGGAGGAAAAAAAAACCATATTGCAAGACTAGTCAATGAGGACAAATTTCTCTGTGAATCTAAGGAAGAAATTGAAAAATGTGTAGCTGACTTCTATAGCCATCTCTTCTGCTCAGAAGGCACATGGGAGCCTGAAGGACTCCTAGACTGCATCATCAACACCATAGACAGCACCACCAATACCTCACTCATGGCTCAAGTAGGAGAGGATGAGATCAAGAGAGTTCTTGACAGCATGAACCCAAATAAGGCCCCAGGTCTTGATGGTATGTCCCCTCTTTTCTATCAAAAATTTTGGCACATTGTTAAAAATAAATTATGCACTGCCATTCAAAGTTTCTTAGAGTCTAGCCAAATCCTTAAGAGTTGGAACCACACAGCCATCACTTTGATCCCTAAATGCCTGAACCCCACTCATGTCTCAAATTTTAGGCCTATAAGTCTCTGTGGTGTTCCTTATAAAATCATATCAAAAATCTTGGCTTATAGACTCAAGCACTGTCTCCACTCATGCATCTCTGAAAATCAAACTGCTTTCATCCCTGGTAGGAGTTTGCTAGACAATGTAGTGGTGGCTCATGAAGCTATCCATTATCTGAAAAAGCATAACTCTGGTAACAAATGCTTCATGGCCTTAAAGCTTGATATGGCAAAGGCCTTTGACAGAATTGAGTGGGATAGCATCAGTAAAATCATGTTAAAAATGGGTTTTCACAGGAAATTTGTTAACTGGATAATGGCTTGTGTCACATCTCCTCACTACTCTTTTAACATTAATGGTGCTGTCAGTGGTTTTGTTTCTCCATCTAGGGGCATCAGACAAGGAGACCCCATTTCTCCCTATCTTTTTATCTTAGTTGCTGAATTGTTTTCTTGCCTCATCAAGATAGCTGTTACTAATGGAGATTTGCAGGGTATTGAACTGTCAAGAAATGGACCCACCCTCAGCCACCTTTTCTTTGCAGATGACACAATCCTTTTCTGCCATGCCAATGTCCAAAATGCCAATATCATCCTGCAAATCATGCAAACTTACCAACTCTTCACTGGCCAAAAAGTAAACCTACAAAAATCCTCCATTTTCTTTAGCAAAAACACCCCCCCACAAACCCAACACACTATCTGCACCATGCTACATGGCATACAACACCAACTTCATTGCAAATACCTTGGTCTCCCTCTGCAAATTGGGCACTCAAAAAAACAAACCTTCAATTATGTTGCTGAAGTAGTCAAAACCAGAATCCAGAGCTGGAAAAACAAATTCCTCTCTCCTGCTGGAAGGGAAGTGCTCATCAAATCAGTCCTAAGTGCTTTACCTGTTTTTGTTATGTCATGCTTTATTCTGCCAATTTCAGTCTGTGATGAGATAAACAAACTAATTGCTGAATTTTGGTGGAGCAAAGGTGACAACAATGCTAGAGGCATGCACTGGAAATGCTGGAAACACATAACACTTCCACAGGAAAATGGAGGATTGGGATTCTCTGATCTCAGAATCTTCAACGAAGCACTAATATTCAAACAGCTCTGGAGGCTAATCACCAAGCCCAACCTCCTCATGAGCAAGATCCTCAAATGCAAGTACTTCCCAAAAGGCTCTTTCTTGGAAACAAAACCTCCCCTTAGCAGCTCCTGGCTATGGAGAAGTTGGATGAAAGTATGTCCAGCCTTCTCACAGCATCTCAGAATGATTATTGGTAATGGGCAGTCAGCACTAATATGGGAGCACCCTTGGCTCCACTCTCTTCCACATCTAAAGCCTCAGAGAAGCCCCTCACCTTCTCCTTCTATATTCAAAGTCTGTCAGCTTATGAATCCCTCAGATTGCAGCTGGAACATTGATCTCATCAGAAACACATTCTCAGTGCAGGAAGCAGAGGCTATTCTAAGCA